CGCCGGCTGCTGCGGCACCAGGCCCCTGCCTACTTAGAAGTGAGCAGCTGGCTCAGGTTTAAGGAACTCGCCCTGGATCACAGCCAGAAAGTGGCGGCTCTGGGATTGAAACTCAGGCTGGGGCCGGGTGTGGTGGCTCACGCCTGTAATCCCAGCACTTTGGGAGGCCAAGGAGCGCAGATCACTTGAGGTCAGGAGTTTGAGATCAGCCTGGCCAACATGGTGAAACCCTGTCTCTACCAAAAAATACCAAAAAAATTAGCCGGGCATGGTGGCACGCGCCTGTACTCCCAGCTACCCGGGAGGCTGAGGCGGGAGGATCGCTTGAACCTGGGAGGTGGAGGTTGCAGTGAGCCAAGATTTTGCCACAGCCCTCCAGCCTGGGCAACAGAGTGGAGACCCTGTCTGAAAACAACAAAAAAGAAACCCAGGCGGGGCCGGCTGAGTCTCCTCTGTCTCTCACCTCAGACTACGCCCTGGGCAAGGACTGCATCATGCACGGCTACATGTCCAAGATGGGCAACCCCTTCCTGACCCAGTGGCAGCGGCGGTACTTCTACCTGTTCCCCAACCGCCTGGAGTGGCGGGGCGAGGGCGAGGCCCCGGTAAGGAGCCTGTGCGGGGGTCCGGGAGCTGGGCTTCCAGGTGGCTGGCCGGCCCGGCTCTTACCCGCACCACCCATCCCTGGCCCTGCAGCAGAGCCTGCTGACCATGGAGGAGATCCAGTCCGTGGAGGAGACGCAGATCAAGGAGCGCAAGTGCCTGCTCCTCAAGATCCGCGGTGGGAAACAGTTCGTTTTGCAGTGCGATGTGAGTGGGGGCTGGGCTGGGGCTGGAAGGGCCGAGGGGCCAGGCCAGGCAGGCTGGGGAGAGCCCCAGCTAACAGAGCTGGGCTTGGCATGTGTAGAGCGACCCTGAACTGGTGCAGTGGAAGAAGGAGCTGCGTGACGCCTACCGCGAGGCCCAGCAGCTGGTGCAGCGGGTGCCCAAGATGAAGAACAAGCCGCGCTCGCCCGTGGTGGAGCTGAGCAAGGTGCCGCTGGTCCAGCGCGGCAGTGCCAACGGCCTCTGACCCGCCCGCCCGCCTTTTATAAACCTCTAATTTATTTTGTCGAATTTTTATTATTTGTTTTCCCGCCAAGCGGAAAAGGTTTTATTTTGTAATTATTGTGATTTCCTGTGGCCCCAGCCTGGCCCAGCTCCCCTGGGAGGGGCCTGCTTGCCTCAGCTCCTGCTGCACCAACCCAGCCGCTGTCCGGCACCCACCGTCCTGACCCCAGGGGCTGCCCACTCCCAGTGTCTTCCTGCGGGGGAAGAGCACAGCCCTCTCGCCCCTTCCCTGAGGGATGATGCCACACCAAGCTGTGCCACCCTGGGCTCTGTGGACTGCACTCTGTGCCCACGGGCACTGCTGAGTGGCCCAGCCTCCCTCACTGGGGCGGGCGCAGCACAGGGATCCGACTGAATTTTCCCACTGCACCCCTCCTGCTGCAGAGGGGCAGGCCCTGCACTGTCCTGCCCCACAGCGTTGGTGAGAGGAGGGGCCTGTTGTCTCCCTGGCCCCCAAGGCCTCCCACAGTGACTCGGGCTCCTGTGCCCTTATTCAGGAAAAGCCTCGGTGTCACTGGCTGCCTCCACTCCCACTTCCCTGACACTGCAGGGCTCGGCTGAGAGGGTGGCATTGGCGGCAGGTGCTGCTACCCTCCCTTCTGTCCCCTCTTGCCCCAACCCCCAGCACCTGGGCTCAGGGACCAGAGCAAGGCTACTGTGGGTTGGGCCATACTGGCCTCGCCTGGCCTGAGGTCTCCCCGATGCTGGGGCGGGTGCGACCCCTTCTGCCCAGGACGGGGCCGGCCAGGTGGGCGGGCAGCACATCAAGGAGGCTGGCTGGGGCCTGTCAGTGTGCCCCCCACCCCGGCCCATCAGTGTATCCTTGCCCAGGCTGGCCAACCCCACAGCCCACGTCCTGTCAGTGCCGCCACCTTGGGGCGCCGCCTCGCCCACCGCATGCCCCCTCGTGCCAGTCACGCTGCCTGTGTGGTGTCGCGCCTTCTCCCCCCCGGGGCTGGGTTGGCGCACCCTCCCCTCCCGTCTACTCATTCCCCGGGGCGTTTCTTTGCCGATTTTTGAATGTGATTTTAAAGAGTGAAAAATGAGACTATGCGTTTTTATAAAAAATGGTGCCTGATTCGGCTGTCTCAGACTCTTTGTACCTGGTGACTGCTTTTCAGCCTCTGCTGGGCTGGGGCCCGAGGGGGAGGGTCTCGGTGGTACCAGATCTCCTTCACCACCACGGCTTCCAAGGTGGCCTGCTGGGGCCCAGGCCATCTTCCAGGTGGGGTGAGGCAGTGAGTCCCACTCCCCCTCCTGCCCTTCCCAGCTGACAGTCCTCCCGCCTAGCGGCTGTCCAGTGCCCATTCCTCACCTTTTCTCAGGGAGGAGAGAGCAGCTTCTGCCACTTACCAGGTAAGCAGGAGGAGGTGCCAGCAGTGTTACATCTGGTGCAGTGTCTGGGCTGACTGCGACCTTCTCAGGCCCACAGAACACCCCTGCACAGCAGGCTCTAAGCTGACGCCCCTCCCCAGAAACAGTCACAAGGCACGTCTGCTGTCTGGATCGCGCCGCAGGCCCTTGGCCATCTCTGGCTTCAGCCTCCTCTCTGGTCTCACTGCACAGCCCTAGTAGGGGTCCCTGAGGCCTGAGGGGAACCCCAGCACTAGGCCTCTCCTCTACCCAGAGGCTTCTGGTCAACTTCCCTTTCCCCACGTCCCTGCCCTGCGGGCCCCCGGGATGACTACACAGATGGGTGCTGTTGCCCACTCCACACAGGGCTTTGCTGGGCATGGCTGGGGCCCATGGCCAAAGCACAGCATGCCAGGCAAAGAAGGGAGGCAGGCAGCTGGGCAGGGTACTCTGGGCTGAATACAAAAGAGTCAGGGGCAGTGGCTTTTCAGCCAGGCCTCCAGCATTGGTGTGGGAAGGAAGGAGGACATTTCTGAGGCAGGGAAGAGCCAGGCACTCATGAGTGGCCCAGGCTGGCCGGAGGACTATGGGAAGGAGCCATGCCTGGAGGCCCTGAATGCCTGGCTTAACCTATTCCAGAGCCAGGTGTGTGCTTGGGGACTGTAGAATGAAGATACAAACGACATGGAGTCCAGACCGGCCGTGCTCAGGGAGCTCTTGAAGGCGCTGAACAGGGCCGAGGGTGGTGAGAGCTGGCTCTAAAGTGATTGCTTGGTTACTGAGTGCAGGATGTGGGGAGGGAGGCGAAGGACAGGAGGCAGGGAGACAAACCGCTGCAGTGGGAGAGGAGGAGATGAAAAGAGGGCAAATGGGAAGAATGTGGTCCAGCAGAAACTAGCTGGACTTGGGGCTGAGCGAGGCAGGAGTCTGGGAAAGGGTAGGTGTGGTTGGGTTGGCTTCAGACACACTGATGGGATAGCATGGGACCCCTGGGTACAGAGATGTCCTGGAGTAAGCTGAAATGTGGACCTGGGGATGGCATCAGGGTGACAATGGGAATGGACAGGCTCTCTTCCAGGGATGTGGGGGTCAGGGAGAGAGAAAAGGCCGTGGAAGAGGGTTGAGAAGGCACTGTCATGGAATTAAGGGCCAGTGGAAAGCTGTGTTCAAGATGGCAGAAATCAGGAGAGGCTGGAACCAAGAAAGTCCTGTCGGGTTGAGTTTGGGGAGGGCTCAGGGAAGGGACGGCCTCTTTGAGAAAAGTGGTGGCCAGGGAGGGTTGGAGCAGTGGTGAGCAGGTGAGCTGATCTAACAGCTCTGGACATTCAGAAGCCTTCGGGCTGCTATCAACCCCAGGACCTCACGGATGACACTATAGCGTGGGGTGGCAAAATGATCCCACATGGCACAGGTGCCGTGTGATTACAAGGAGAAGGCGGGGTAAAAATGGCAATCAGGCCTTCCAGCCCAGAGTCTCAGAACTGAGGACGCCCTACAGCAGGAGGTGACGCTCAAGCTAGCTGGCCCTCCTCAATCAAGCTATCCTGCCATGTTCCACGTAGGGAAACGGAGAGCAGAGGGTCAGCCTTGGCCACCTAACAAAACCAGGACCCAAGACCCCAGGCTGGGCCTCCAGTAATCAAGGGCCGGAACTGAGCTGACGGAGGCCTGCACCCTAGTTCCGGTGTGGGTGGAGGGGCCGGCCCTGATTTCGAAACTCGTCTTCCTCTCCTGACGCTGGCAGCCAAGTGCAGCCTCTGCAAAAGGGACTCGTGCGGCAGGCGAAGGCAGCCGTTCGCCGCGGGCGGTCCTCCGCCGGGACGGCTCTGCCGCTGCCTGGGCCTGCGCCCCTCTCTCCCCAAACTCCTATCCCTGACTTCAGGGCCCCGGGGGCCGCCTCCCCACATCGCTAGGCCTGCAGACACCGGCCAGGTGCCAGGGGAAGGTGCTTCCCACTCAGCCGGCGAGCACTTAGTGGCGTCTGCTAGTTGCTCGTCTCCGGGATAGGTGCTCGGTGATGCGAGGGGAGCCGGGGCGCCCCACTTCACCCGCACCCCCCGGCAGAGTCGGTGACCGCGGGACCTGGGGTAGGAAGACCGGGACGAGCGAGGGGATCTGCGGGGGAAACGCAGGTATCGCTGCTGTAGCAGGACCGCGGCCCGCCGCGCACGCGCGCGCAAGACCCAAGGGACCAGTGCCCGCCCCACCCGGGCCCCGCCTTTCCCTTCCGGACCCGCCACCGGGGGTCTGCGCAGGGCTCGGGGCGCCTCCTGCGGGCCGCGGGAGGAGCTGTAACCAGGTCTCGCCATCCTAGCGGACCCGGGCCCGACCGAGGTCGGGGTACAGACCCAAGGTCGGGCATCTCCTCGGGCGCGCGCGGTGGCCCCAGCGCGCGCTGGCCTGGCCGCCGTTGCCATGGTTGCGGGGGGACGGGTCGCACGCGAAGCCCCGCCCCGGCCCGGCGCAGCCCCGCCCGCCCCGCTGCCCGCTCCGCCCTCCCTGCCGTCCGCGCTGCCGCCGCCGCCGCCGCCGCCGCTACTGCTGCGGGGGCCGCGGGGGGCGCAGCTGGGGCGCGGCTCGGAGGGGAGGCTAGGGGGCCGTGCCAGGCTAGAAGCCGAGGCGGGGCCGGGATGCGGCGCTGAGGCCCAGCATGGCCAGCCCGTGCCCCACTTTCCCGCTGCACCGGCTCGTCTGGGCGAACCGGCATCGCGAACTGGAGGCCGCACTGCACAGCCAGCAGGTGAGGCCCCGCTGAGGCACCCGGCCCGTCCCCCGGGTCCCCCACCCAAGGCTGTGGCCTCCGTCCTGGAGGCCGCCCGCCCCTGCTCAGCTCCGCAGCGACATCCCGGGCCTTCCTCCCCTGCACAATCCCAAGCCCAGATCACCAGCCCCTCGCGCTGGAGCCTCTGGCCTCGTCTATCCTGCGCTGGGCCTTGCCCTGCTTGCCCGAACTCGCTTCCGCATCCCCTCCAAGCCAGGCTGAGAACAAGAACCCTGGTCCTCGTCCCCAGGCTCCGGCAAACTCCTGACATCCTACACCTCTGCCTGACCAGGCCCCGCCGCCAGACCCCCGGCTCTGCCCCTGCCCTCCCTCCTGCCCTCTCCTCTCCCCTGCCAGGCCACTCTCTGCCATCTCCCTGGTCAGTCTGCCGTCCTTGTTTCCCACAGCGATTCCCAACTCTGCTCGCCCTGGCAGCTTCCCTGCCTTGCCCTCTTCTCTCCTGCCCTTTTTGAGTGTCCCGTCTCCCCCAGCACGACATTGAACAGGAGGACCCCCGCGGGCGGACCCCGCTGGAGCTGGCCGTGTCTCTGGGAAACCTGGAGTCTGTGAGAGTGCTCCTTCGACACAATGCCAACGTGGGCAAAGAGAACCGCCAGGGCTGGGCAGGTACTGCAGAGGACAGGGGCTCCCCCTGAGGCTGGCAGGCGGGGGGCAGTGAGCAGCCAGGCCTGGGGTCATCTGGAGGGCTCCCCTCAGCAGCCTGGTGCCCGCAGTCCTGCAGGAGGCAGTCAGCACTGGAGACCCTGAGATGGTGCAGCTGGTGCTCCAGTATCGGGACTACCAGAGGGCTACACAGAGGCTGGCGGGCATTCCGGAACTGCTCAACAAACTTCGCCAGGTACAGCAGGGCACAATTATGGAGGTAGGGTACCATGTCAGGGCATCACCTGGTTATTGTGCCAGGCCTCGCCTTGGAAAGGCACCCAGTTTGTGCAGTGTGCCTCCTGCCACCAGTGAGGAGGTCTATCTTGAGCCCAGCTCAGGGTCACGTAGGAAAGAAAGATGGCCAGGCTCATGTGGGAGACACTGGGCCCTTTGGAAAAGAAGCCTTGTCAGCTTTGGGCCTCCTGAAGAATGCAGATTACCTGGAGCAGGGACTTCAGATTGACTCCGTGGATTATGGCCTGAGCCCCTGGAATACCTGCTACTATGCACCCTTCTGGAAGCATGCAGAGGGGCCTGGCTGGCAGAGCATACTACCTCATACCCCCTACCCGAGGAGCAGGCTCAGAGGGAGCCACTGTGCCCCCTTTACAGAGTAGGACTCTGAGACCCAGTGGAAGCAAAGGCTCCCCAGTGCCCTGCACAGGCTCATGGCCAGGTTGGGGCTGGCCCTCCACTTCCAGGTGCTTACAGCCTCATTGCCCGAAGACCATTGTAGGGCCCCACTTGGCCGACCCTCTCTTGGGCAGAGTGGTTGGGCGTAGTGCAGCCATAGCAGTGCATCAAGACTTGATGAAGGGCCAAGTGTTGTGGCTCACACCTGTCATCCCAGCACTTTGGGAGGCCAAAGTGGGAGGATCACTTGAGCCCAGGAGTTCAAGACCAGCCTAGGCAACATGGTGAAACCCCGTCTCTACAAAAAATACAAAAATTAGCTGGGAGTGGTGGCACACACCTGTGGTCCCAGCTACTCAGGAGTCTGAGGTGGGAGAATCACCTGAGCCCAGGGAGGCAGAGGTTGCAGTGAGCTGAAATTGTACCACTGCACTCCAGCCTGGGTGACAGAGCAAGTCTCAAAAAAAAAAAAAAAAAAAAAAAAGAAGGGCTGGGCTGGCTGTGGACAAGGGGCTTCTGGGCCTGCTGGAGACAGCAGCAGGCAGGACCCTGACGAGCAGCTCTGGTTTCTCTTAGGCCCCCGATTTCTACGTGGAGATGAAGTGGGAGTTCACCAGCTGGGGTGAGTGGGGACCTCTGGGCTCCCAGGGATTTGGGGTGGGGCTTTTGGGAAGACCCCCAGTGACCCCTGTGCACCCTGCAGTGCCCCTTGTGTCCAAGATGTGCCCAAGCGATGTGTACCGCGTGTGGAAGCGGGGTGAAAGCCTGCGAGTAGACACCAGCCTCCTGGGCTTCGAGCACATGACCTGGCAGCGAGGCCGGAGGAGCTTTATCTTCAAGGGCCAGGGTGAGCTCTGGACACACTCACTGCAGCATCTCAGCCCTCAGGTTCTCCCGCGGCTTGGGAGGGTGGTGCTGCCCTTTCTCTCCACTTTCCAGATGTGGAAGCTGAGGTTGGGGAAGGAGGGGGATCCAGGGGCCAAGGCTGACCCACCTGGCAGCAGGCAGCTGAGAGTACATGATCGCCCTCTCTGCGCTGCTGGCACCCAGCTCTGATTTGCACCCCCTCTGTCCACCCCCGCCGGCCGGCAGAGGCAGGAGCCCTGGTGATGGAGGTGGACCATGACCGGCAGGTGGTGCATGCGGAGACGCTGGGGCTCGCTCTGCAGGAGCCCGAAGCACTGCTGGCCGCCATGCGGCCCAGCGAGGAGCATGTGGCCAGCCGCCTCACCTCTCCTATCGTCTCCACCCACCTGGACACTCGTAATGTGGCCTTTGAGAGGTCGGTCGGGGCCTGGCACACCGTGGGTGGGATGGGGACAGACAGCAAGAGCCACCCTTAATGAGGGCAGGGCGATCCTTGAAGATCCTGGTTCAGGCCTCTGGGCTTACTCACCAGGGGCTGCTCAGGGGCAGGCGGGTTGCTGCAGCCCGTGTCTCACTCAGACTGCCGGGGTAGTCAGGCTCCTGTGGCCACCTTTGTGGGGAGGGGTCAGGTCAAGATGTCCCCAGTTTCTTGACTTCTGACCTCATATGCTTTCCCATTAAGACAAAGATTTAGGCTGTGGTTCACAGCAGCTATTTGCACCAATGTTGGCTTGTCACTGGTGTGGCTGTGTTGGGGGCAGAATCCTTTGTGGGTAGCCTAGGAACCTGACCCTTCCAGCAAGAGCTTCTCTGACAACATATGCCCCCTCTTGCCTTAACAAGTCAATGGAAACATTAAAAAAAAAAAAGCTTTATTGAGATACAAACTCATATACCATATACATCACCCATTTAAAGCATACAGTTCAATGACTTTTAGTATATTTATTCACAGATTTGTACATCACCACAGTCAATTTTAGAACATTTTTATCACCTCACAAAGAAACCCCCCACCCTTGAGCTAACTCTTCGCCAAACTCCTCGTCCCCTCTCCCAGTCCTGAGCAACCACTAATCTACTTTCTGTTTCTGTAGAATTCTCTATTCTGAGTTCTCATATGAATGGAATTTTATAGTATGTTGCCTTTTGTGTCTGGCTTCTTTCACTTAGTGTAATATATTCAAGGTTCATCCAAGTTGTAGCATGTAACTACTTCATTCCTTTTTGTGGTCATTGTATGAATATACCATATCTTGTTTATTGATTAGCCCATCAATAGACATTTGGGTTATTTGCATTATTTGGCGATTATGAATAATGTCACTCTAAGTATTCATGTGCAAGTTTTTGTGTAGACGTATGTTTTAATTTCTCTTTCATATGTTTTCATTTCTCTTGGGTATATACCTAAGAGTAGAATTGCCAGGTTATTGATAACTCATTAATTGAGAAACTGCCAGACTGTTTACCAAAGGAGCTGTACTGCTTTACATTCCTACCAGCAGCGTGTGAGGGTTCCAGTTTCTCCACATCCTCATCAGCACTTGTTATTATTCACTCATTTGTTTTCGGAATCCAGCCAGCCTAGTGGGTGAGAAGTGATAGCTCACTGTGATTTTGATTTTCCTTTCCTTGATGACTAATGATGTTGGGCATCTTTTCATGTGCTTGTGTTTATTGGTCAGTTGTATATTTTTGCAGAAATGTCTATTCAGATCCTTTACCCGTTTTTTATTTAATTTAATTAGCTTATTTTGAGATGGGGTCTAGCCTTTCACCCAGGATGGAGTGCAGTGACATGATCATGGCTCATTGCAACCTCGACCTCCCAGGCTCAAGTGATCTAAGTAGCTGGAACTACAGGTTCATGCCGCCATGCCCAGCTAATTTTTAAATTATTTGTAATTATTTTATTATATCATTTAATTATTTTGTTTAGTTATTTGTAGAGACAGGGTCTACAGACTGATCTTGAACTCTTAGGCTCAAGCGATCTGCCTACCTTGCCCTCCCAAAGTGCTGGGATTACAGGCATGAGCCACCACACCTGTCCCTTTACCCATTTTAAAAATTGGGTTGTCTTTTTGTTATTGAGTTGTAAGAGTTTTATAATTTTAGCTGTTACACTTAGGTCTTTGAGCCATTTTAAGTTGATTTTTGTGTATAGTGGAAAGTTCTCTTCCATGTGACTATCCAGTTGTCCTAGCCCCCTTTATTAAAAAAACTATGCTTTTCCCACTGAATGGTCTTGTCACCCTTGTTGAAAATCAGTTGACCATAGATAAATGGGTTACTTTCTGGCTCCCAAGTTAGTTCCATTGGTCTACATGTCTGTCTTTATGCCAATATTATACTATCTTAATCACTATTGCTTTGCAGTAAGTTTTGAAATTGGAAAGTGTGTCTTCCTACTTTGTTTTGCTTTTTCAGGGTTATGTCAGTATTTTGGGACCCTTGCATTTTATATGAATTCTATTTTCTTTTTTCTCACAACCCAGTGTAGGCAGAATATATGAATTCTAGATTCAGCTTGTCAATTTCTACAGTCAGATGGGCTTCTGATAGGGATTGCACTGAATCTATAAAGCAGTTTGGGGAATAGTACCATGTAAACAATGTTAAGTCTTCTAATCCATGAACATGGGATGTTTTTCCGTTTATTTGGATCTTCTTTAATTTATTTCAACATTATTTTATAGTTTTCAGAGTGCAAGCTTTGCACTTCTTTTGTTACATTTATTCCCAAGTGTTTTATTCTTTTATTGTTTTTTTTTTTTTGGAGATGGAGTCTCACTCTATTGCCCAGGCTGGAGTGCAGTGGCATGATCTCGGCTCACTGCAACCTCCACCTCCTGAGTTCAAGTGATTCTCCTGCCTCAGCCTCCCAAGTAGCTGGGATTACAGGTGCCCACCACCACGCCTGGCTAATTTTTGCATTTTTAGTAGAGACAGGGTTTCACCGTGTCGGACCAGGCTGATCTTGAACTCCTGACCTCAGGTGATCTGCCTACCTCAGCCTCCCAAAGTGCTGGGATTACAGGTGTGAGCCACCGCACCCAGCCACGAAGTGTTTTATTCTTTTTGATACAATTATGAATCAAATATTTTTCTTGGCCAGGCATGGTGGCTCACGCCTGTAATCCCAGCACTTTGGGAGGCCAAGGTGGGTGGATCATGAGGTCAGGAGATCAAGACCATCCTGGCTAACATGGTGAAACCCTGTCTCTACTAAAAATACAAAAAATTAGCCAGGCATGGTGGCGGGTACCTATAGTCCCAGCCACTCAGGAGGCTGAGGCAGGAGAATAGCATGAACCTGAGGCGGAGCTTGCAGTGAGCCAAGATCGCACCACTGCACTCCAACCTGGGTTACAGAGCAAGACTCTGTCTCAAAAAAAAAAAAAAAGTGGTTAGAGCAGGCTGGGCATAGTGGCTTATGCCTGTAATCCCAGAACTTTGGGAGGCTGAGGCGGCTAGATCACTTGAGGTCAGGAGTTTGAGACCAGGCTGGCTAACATGGTGAAATACCATTTCTACTAAAAATACAAAAACAAAAAAAAATTAGCTAGGCATGGTGGTGAGCGCCTGTAGTCCCAGCTGCTTGGGAAACTGAGGCACAAGAATTGCTTGAACCCGGGAGGCAGGAGGCAGGGGTTGCAGTGAGCCCAGATTGCACCACTGCACTCCAGCCTGGGTGACAGCGCAAGACCCCATCTAAAACAATAAATAAATAAATAAATAAATAAGAAAAGAAAAGTGGTTAGAGCAGACATCTTTTATTCTTGTCTTGTTCCTGATCTTAGGGGAAAAGCATTCAGTCTTACCATTAAGTATGATATTAGTTGTGAGTTTTCAATAGATACCCTCCATCAGGTTAAGGTAATTGCCTTCCATTCCTCGTTTTTAGAGTATTTTTTATCATAAAAGGACGTTGGATTTTGTGAAATGCTTTTTCTGTGTTTATTGATATGACCATGTGATTTTTTAAAAAATTCTATTGATACATTACATCAATTGACCTATGGATATTGAACCAACCTTGTATTCCTGTGATAAGTTCCACTTGGTTGTGATGTATAATTCTTTTCATATGTTGCTAGATTTGGTTGCCTCGTATTTTGTTGAGGATTTTGTGTCCATATTCACAAGCGATATTGGTCTATAGTTTTCTTGTGATATATGTCTGCTTTTGGTATCTGGGTGATGCCTCATAAACTGAAGTGGGAAATGTCACGTCTTTGTCTATTTTTTCGAATAGTTTGCGAATAATTGGTATTAATTCGTCTTCAAAAGATTGGTAGGATTCAGTGGTGAAGCCATTTGGGCCTGAGCGTGTGTGTGTGTGTGTGTGTGTGTGTATAGTTTTTTGTTGTTGTGTTTACCAGTCTCTTGACTTGTTATCCATCTATTCAGATTATCTATTTATTCTCAAATTAGTTTTGGTGGCTTGTGCCTCACTAGGAATTTGTCCATTTCATCTAAATTATAAAATTTGTTGGTGTACAGCTATTCATTATATCCTTTTATAATGCTTTTTATTTCTGTTGCTCCTCTCTTTCATTTCTGATTCTGGTATGTAATTTTCATCTTTTTTTTTTTTTTGAGACAGAGTCTTACTCTGTCACCCAGGCTGAAGTGCAGTGGCATGATAAGAGCTTACTGCAGCCTTGAACTCTGGGCTTAGGTGATCCTTCAGCCTCAGCTTCCCAAGTAGCTGGGACTACAGGCATGCACCACCGAGCCCAGCTAATTTTCTTTTTTTGTAGAGATGTGGTCTCACTATGTCATCCAGGCTGCTTTTGAACTCCTGGCCTCAAACAATCCTCCTGCCTTGGCCTCTGAAAGCACTGGGATTACAGATGTGAACCACCGCCCCCAGCCAAGTCTTCTCTCTCTTTTTTCCCCTACTGTGGTCAACCTAGCTAAAGGTTTGTCAATTTTGTTGATGTTTTCAAAGAGCCAGCTTTTGGTTTCATTAATTTTCTCTATTATTTTTCTATTCTCTATTTCGTTAACCTTTACTGTAATATTTATTATTTCTTTCTGCTCTTTCTGGTTTAGTTTGCCCTTTTTCCATTGTCTTAACATGGAAGGTTAGGTTAAGGTTATTGATTTGAGATCGTCTTTCTTTTTTTTTTTTTTGAGATGGAGTCTCGCTGTCACCCAGGCTGGAGTGCAGTGGCCGGATCTCAGCTCACTGCAAGCTCCACCTCCCGGGTTTACGCCATTCTCCTGCCTCAGCCTCCCGAGTAGCTGGGACTACAGGCGCCCGCCACATCACCCGGCTAGTTTTTTGTATTTTTTTTAGTAGAGACGGGGTTTCAACGTGTTAGCCAGGATGGTCTCGATCTCCTGACCCCGTGATCCGCCTGTCTCGGCCTCCCAAAGTGCTGGGATTACAGGCTTGAGCCACCGTGCCCGGCCAAGATCTTCTTTCTTAATATAGGCATTCACACATATTATATTACATTTACACTTCTAGGCATGTCTGTCTTTTCTTTGTTTGACATGGGGTCTCACTCCATTGCCCAGGCTGGAGTGCAGTGTTGTGATCTCAGCTCACTGCAACCTCTGCCTCCCAGGCTCAAGTGATCCTCCCACCTCAGCCTCCTAAGTAGCTGGGAACACAGGCACCAGCTAATTTTTTCTGTTTTTAGTAGGGAAGGGGTTTCACCATGTTGCACAGGCTGGTCTCGAACTCCTGTGCTCAAGCAATCTGCTGCCTCAGCCTCCCAAAGTGCTGGGATTACAGGCGTGAGCCACTGGGCCTGGCCTTTACCTGTGTCTCATAAGTTTTGATATGTTGTGTCTTTATTCCTGTTTATCTCAGAGTATTTTCTGATTTCTCTTTTGATTTATTATTTGAGACATTGGCTATTTGGGAGTGTGTTGTTTATTTTCCACATATTTGTGAGTTTCCAAAGTTTTTTTTCTGCTATTGATTTCTAATTTCATTCCATTGTGGTTGGAAAACATACCTTGTATGACTTCTGTCCTTTCAATTTTTATTGAGGTTTTCTTTCTTTCTTTTCTTTTTTTTTTTTTTTTTTTTTTTTTTTTGAGACGGAGTCTCACTCTGTCACCCAGGCTGGAGTATAGTGGCACTATCTCTGCTCACTGCAAGCTCCGCCTCCTGGGTTCATGCCATTCTCCTGTCTCAGCCTCCCAAGTAGCTGGGACTACAGGCACCTGCCACCACGCCCAGCTAATTTTTTGTATTTTTTAGTAGAGACAGGGTTTCATCATGTTTGCCAGGATGGTCTCAATCTCCTGACCTCATGATCCACCCGCCTCAGCCTCCCAAACTGCTGGGATTACAGGCATGAGCCACCACGCCCAGCCTTATTGAGGTCTTTTTTTTTTTTTTTTTTTTGAGACGGAGTCTCGCTGTGTCTCCCATACGGGAATGCAGTGGTGCGATCTCAGCTCACTGCAAGCTCCACCTCCCGGGTTCACCCATTCTCCTGCCTCAGCCTCCCGAGTAGCTGGGACTACAGTCGCCCGCCACCACGCCCAGCTAATTTTTTGTATTTTTAGTAGAGACAGGGTTTCACCGTGTTAGCCAGGATGGTCTTGATCTCCTGACGTCGTGATCCACCCGCCTCGGCCTCCCAAAGTGCTGGGATTATAGGCGTGAGCCACCATGGCCGGCCTCTGAAGTTTTCTTCTTTTTTTTTTTTTTTGAGACGGAGTCTCGCCCTGTCACCCAGGCTGGAGTGCAGTGGCCAGATCTCAACTCACTGCAAGCTCCACCTCCCGGGTTTACGCCATTCTCCTGCCTCAGCCTCCCGAGTAGCTGGGACTACAGGCACCCACCATCTCGCCCGGCTAGTTTTTTGTATTTTTTAGTAGAGACGGGGTTTCACCGGGTTAGCCAGGATGGTCTCGGCCTCCCAAAGTGCTGGGATTACAGGCTTGAGCCACCGCGCCCAGCCGGTTTTCTTAATATGGTCTTGAAGAGTGTTCCATGTGCATGCAAGAAGCGTGTGTGTGGTTATTACTGGGTAAAGTGTTCTGACCTGTTTATAAAGTCTAGCTGTAATATTGTTCTTAATCTTCCGGTTCTTTGTTGATCTTCTAGTTGTTCTATCCATTATTGAAAGTGGAGTACTGGAGTCTCCAACTGACATACTTTTATTTTAGCTTTTTATTATGGAAAATTTTAAGCATATATGAAAGAAGAGATAATGTACTTACTCATCACCCAGCTTCAACATTTATCAACATCTTGCCAATCTTACTGAATCTGTCCTTCCTTACCTTTTTTTAAAATTTTTCCTAGAGTATGTCAAAGCTCATCGCAGATGCCCTAATGTTCCTAGGAAATGCTTCTGCACAATTCTAAAAGATAAGGATGGTTTAAACCCAGCCCCGACACTATCATACCTCACAAGATTCATGCTGATTCCTCAGTTTCTTCTAGTCCCAAGTCCATGCTCAAGTGTCCCCCGCTGTCCAGGCACCCTCTTCAGGGGTCCTCCATGTTTCACAGGGAGAAGGGACCCTCAGAGTTGGGCACCCCAGGCAGGCTGATTGGAGGGGGCTTTGGAAAGGAAGGCTTTGGCCAGGGTGTGAGGGTGCAGGTCCTCACCAGCTCCTGTTTGGTCTGTTTCAGGAACAAATGTGGTATCTGGGGCTGGCGGTCTGAGAAGATGGAAACTGTTAGCGGCTACGAGGCCAAGGCAGGAGAGGCTAGTGGTGGGGGGCTGGGGGTAGGAGATGAGATCCAGGAACTCAGCTCCTCTCCACATCCATCCCAGAGTAGCCCTTGGGCTCTGGAAACCCTGAGCATTTGTGGGAATTCAGCGGGCCTGAGTGCCCATCCCCTGCGGAGTACATAGGGCTCACCCACATCACGGGTCCCTACCCGGGGTACCAAGATGAAATGAGGAGTGTGTTCCTCTTGACCCTGGGGCTGCATCTCCTTGTTGGTGACTTCCCAGGGTTCAAACCCTGCCATCTCCTCTATTTTGGGGAGCAAGATCTCATCTGTCTCTGGGACAGGAGGACTTGGGTTCTGCACTGGTGAGGCTGAGTGTGGGGAGCAGGCTCTGAGCCCCCAGCTCCCCGTGTCCCCTGCTCCCCAGGTGTACAGTGCCACCAACGTGGAGCTGGTGACACGCACACGCACGGAGCACCTCTCTGATCAGGACAAGTCGAGGAGCAAAGGTAAACCCAGGTGCGCCTGCCTGCTGCCTAGTCACACCGTGTGGTGGGGCCACCCTGGCCTGGGGTCAGGGGTCAGAGTTTCCCGGGATGAGCTGGGAGGCCTCCCCGTTCCCGTCTGCCCCCTCTTCCCCGAGACAGGAGGCTCCCAGGGTGGAGGTGGGTGGGGACAGTGCGGGCATAGTGGCCCCCTCACCGGCTCCCACCCCTTCTCCATAGGGGGGAAGACTCCGTTCCAGTCCTTCCTGGGGATGGCCCAGCAGCACTCCTCCCACTCCGGGGTGAGCCAGGGATGGGCTGAGACAGGGCCGACGGGGGCTGAGCCTGGGCGGGAGGGCGCGCTTCATCGCCCTGATCGCTGAGTCTGCCCTGGAACCCACACAGGCCCCTGTGCAGCAGGCAGCCAGCCCCACCAACCCCACAGCCATCTCCCCTGAGGAGTACTTCGACCCCAACTTCAGCCTGGAGTCACGGAACATTGGCCGCCCCATCGAAATGTCCAGCAAAGTACAGAGGTGAGGTCTGAGAGCGGGCTGGGGACTTGCCTCGGGACGGGAGCTCTTGCAGACCCCTCTCTGGGCCTCTTGTAGTGAGGGGCCCACTCCCTCAGCTGGCTTCTCTCTGGACTCTACTCCTGGAGGCAGGAGTCATGTCTTATCCGTGGTCCTCAGCCCTTAGAAAGGGCTTGGCACAGACGACCAGTAGCTTGTCTTTGATGGATGGATGGTGCCACCCATGTATGGTTTTTTATTTAATTTCATGAGTACCTGCTGGGGCCAGCGTGGCACGGTGGGAAGGGCCCCCAGCGACATGGCCTGGGAGTGGCGCGTCCACCTTGGTGGAACAGAACAGTTATGCTTTTGCCCTGTGAGGAGCCCTGAGCAGGTGTAGGTGGTAACAGCAGGCACAGTGCCTGCACAAGCCTAGCACTCTCACCACCATCTCAGGAGGATTCTTTTAGCCACCACACAGTTGCTGGGATTCAAACCCTGACAGTCTTGCCCTGGGGTGTGCTGGACACAAAAGTTTGGCAACACGTGAGGCCAGCTCTGGGCTGAGGAGGAGAACGGGGCGATGGGCCAGGCCCAGAGAGAAGCCCACAGCCTGGCACCTGGCCTCCTTGTCCAGACCAGATGAGCTGCTGCGAAATCCTCAGGAGCCCCAGCCTGGGCCCAGGGAGGAGGGCAGCTTGGGCCACGTGGCCAGGACACCAGCTCCCAGGGGAGCCAGGCAGTGGCATCTGAGCACAGCAGGGCACCCCAGGCCAGGCAGAAGGTGGGTAAAGGCAGCTGCCCACAAACCAGAGGGCAGTCCTCAGTGGAAGGGCCACCAGCGGTGCCTTACCCATGTCCTGTGGTCGGCTGGGCAGGTTCAAGGCAACACTGTGGCTGAGTGAAGAGCACCCGCTCTCCCTGGGTGACCAGGTGACACCCATCATTGACCTAATGGCCATCAGCAATGCTCACTTTGCCAAGCTGCGCGACTTCATCACGCTGCGCCTTCCACCTGGCTTCCCCGTCAAGATTGGTGAGAGGCTGGGCCCAGGCAGCGGGAGGACCTCAGGCATGGCACCCTCCCCTCAGCACAGTCCCTGGAAGGCTGCAGGGGCCGGAGGCGCAGGTGGCTGTCCACCAGGGCTCAGGTGTGGCTGTCTCCTCACAGAGATTCCCCTTTTCCACGTGCTCAACGCCCGCATCACCTTCAGCAACCTGTGTGGCTGTGACGAACCCCTGAGCTCGGTGTGGGTGCCGGCCCCCAGCTCTGCTGTCGCCGCGTCAGGTACCCCCACGGGAGGAAGAGGTGGCCTGCACAGCTCTCTGGTCACCAAGTCCTGCGGGTTGAGCGTGGCCCCTCTGCCGCCTGCCTAGGGAACCCTTTCCCATGCGAGGTGGACCCCACCGTGTTTGAGGTGCCTGAGGGGTACAGTGTGCTGGGCACGGAGCGCAGCGAGCCCCTCCGAGATGAGGACGATGACCTCCTGCAGTTTGCCATCCAGCAGAGCCTGCTTGAAGCGGGCACCGAGGCGGAGCAGGTGGGACTTGCGCAGGGGGTGGGCTCTGGCCTCTGCAGCCACAGGGCAGAAGTGACAGCTATGGGCTCTGGTGACTGCAGGTGACCGTCTGGGAAGCCCTGACCAACACCCGGCCTGGTGCCCGCCCTCCTCCCCAGGCCACGGTTTATGAGGAACAGCTTCAGCTGGAGCGGTGAGCCCCTCATGGAGCTGGCTGGGTCCCTGTGTCCCGAGCCCTGGCTTGGCGGGGAGGAGGATAGCAGGAAGGCGCCAGGACCCCAGGCCCTCTGCAAGGCCACCCTCCGTCAGCAGCACTATCTGCCACCAAAGGTGGTGTGAGGGGTGGGGAAGCAGGGCCCTGCCCTGTCTCCTCTGCCTGCCACCCTGTCTTTGCCCTTGTCCTCCAAAGCCGGTCCCCATCCCCTCGGCTTCTGCCCCAGCCTTGGCGCTCACTCTCCTGCTCTTCCCTCCCCTGCCCTCCCTGGAAGGGCCCTCCAGGAAAGCCTGCGGCTGTCCACAGAGCCCAGGGGCCCAGGATCCCCTCCCAGGACGCCCCCAGCCCCCGGCCCACCCAGCTTTGAAGAGCAGCTTCGCCTGGCCCTGGAGTTGTCTTCACGGGAGCAGGAGGAGCGGGAGCGGCGCGGGCAGCAGGAGGAGGAGGACTTACAGCGGATCCTGCAGCTGTCACTCACCGAGCACTGAGCCACAGCCCCGGGAGGGCTGGCCAGGCCACTCCCTGCCCGCTTTTGTAATTTATTTATTTATAAACTCTCTGCTGCTGGGCTTGGGGCCTGGAGCCCCAGGGATGGTCGGGCAGGGGAGACAGATGGAAATAAAGAGACTGTCGCAGCAGGGCGCTCTGCTCACTGGGCTGGAGTGGCGGGGACCCTGAAGGTGGGGCGCTGTGAAGAGACACTGTGGGTGGCGGCCTCAGACCTGGGCTTGAATCCTGGCCATGGTCCCCTTAGCCTATCTGAGCCTCAGTTTCTTCAGTTGTAAAATGAGGAGACCACCCCCCACCCTCTGCCCTCAGGGCTGAACGGAGCTGGCGAGAGTCACATGTCCTTACCAAGCAGGCGTCCTGTGACAGATCCCCTGTGCCCTGTCCTACCTGCTGGGGACCCAGTTCATCCTGCCTCCCAGCCTGGTCTTCTGGAAACCGGCCCACGTGCCTGTTGGGGAGGGAAAGGCAGGGTCCCCAGGCCCCATTCACCTCCAGCTGGGAAGAGCCCCCACACCGACCCCGGCCGCCAAGCCCAGGCCCTGGCCGTGACTGCCGCTTGTTCTCTACGGGTGGGATTGCGAAAGCCACTTAAGCCACTTCCCCCGCGTAGCTGGAATTCCCACCCTGCTCGCCTCCGAGGTGGACCTGAGAGCCCCTCTTGAGCTTCTGGGTTATTTGTAAACCCCAGGCCGTTTTCCCCGGAAGCCTGTCTCCCAGTGGTTCCTGTGGAGTGGGAACTAGCAGGCCGACCAGCAGGGAGAAATGTTTGGGGTGGGGGCCCTTGGCCCAGGGCGCGCCTTGCCTGATCCTCTCTAGACCTGTCCCCCACCCCCCGCCTCCGCTCTGCCTCCCTAGGACCCGCCTCTGCAGGGCACAGGACGCTGGAGGCCCAGAACAGCTCAGGTGCTCCCGCTGGGCCGGGCCGGGCGCTTCCTGGGAGGGGGACCAAACTCCCGGCCTCCAGCTTCTGCCCTCAGGGTCTCCAGGCTCCGCACCTGCGCCCATCCCCGGCCTCGCCCCTGACCTGTGCCCAGGGGCTGGGCGGGCTGAACCGCGGAGACGGAGGGACGGGGCCCAGCCGCCCTGAGAAGCTCCGCGGGTCCGGCTGGGCGAGTGTCTGTCCCTTTAAGGGCCGCCCCCGAGGAGGTGCCAGGCCCGGGTGGCGCCGTCTCTCCTTCCTGGTCCTGCAGGGCCAGGACTGTCCGCGGGGTTCAGGGAGGGGGCCGTGCCCGGTGCCAGCCCAGGTGTCCCCGGCCTGGCCCCATGGCCCTGGTCACAGTGAGCCGTTCGCCCCCGGGCAGCGGCGCCTCCACGCCCGTGGGGCCCCGGGTGAGTGTGGACTGGCCGTGGTGCCGCCCACGCAGTTGCTGCCCGGACTCGGGAGCGCGTCCTGCCAGCCAGCGGGCTCCTCTCGAACGGGGGCATGAGGAGGGGGCCGCGGGGCTGGGGCTGGAGGGCGCTGGGGGCCTCGAGGGTCTCTGGTACTGGCGCCCAGGCACAAGCCAGAGCCCTGCGCGCCTCCCTGGCTGCGGAGGCCCCGATCTGAGCGCTCCGCCCGCCACCCTCGGCGCCCACCCAGCCGACCTGGCCTTGGGCCAGGGCTCCACGGGGCCTCCCGGTGGGGCATGGACTGGGGTGGGAAGACGATTGGCATCTGGCGCCTTTTCTGGCCTCCCCCCACCCCAGAATTCCTGAGAGAGGGGAGAGGACAGCCCTCCCCACCCTCACCCTCCCCTGGGGCTGATCTCTCGGCAGGACCTGGCGGTCCAGCGAAGGAGTCGACTCCAGCGAAGGTGAGCGCCGCCTCCCCCACGCAGATACTTCCGTCTGCCCCGGGCCTGGCCACAGCTGTCATGGACTCCGGGTGCAGGGACTGAAGGCTCCGCAGAGGACGCGCAGCCGAAGCTCACTGCCAAATTTGTGGGGCAGCGTTTCTGGTGGGGCCGGCTGGTGGGCTCGCAGTAGGGCAGCCTTTGCCTTCACCCTCCCCCTGGTCAGCTGGGGCTTCCTCACCCACTGCCCTGGGCTTTGGCTCAGGTGGTGGCCACGGGCCGAACGGCAGGAGGGCATAACGGGCCTGAGGACTCCTGGGTCCCCGACCAAGTTCCCAGCAGCCCCTGAGTTAACAGGTGGGAGGGGAAAGGGAGCAGCCCCCATCCCCTGGCAGGTGAGCAAGAGTAGAGGGGCTGAGAGCTTGGAAGCCCCCAAAACTGGTTCTCAGCGTGGTGGCAGCATTGCCAAGGGGCCAAGGGGTTAGAAATGCAGATGCTCAGGCCTCCACTCCAGACCTATCGACCGCGTGGGAGCCCATGAATCCGTGCAGACAAGGGCTGCAGGTGAATGTGAGGCATGCTAGACTTTGAGAGCCCCTACCCTAAGGGGGATGAGAGGCCATGACAGTTGCCCACTGCCCTACCAGGCAGAGCTTTGCGGTGCTCCGAGGGGCTGTCCTGGGGCTGCAGGATGGAGGGGACAATGATGATGCAGCAGAGGCCAGTCCTGAGCCAGCAGAGGAGTCCCCGAATGAGGAGGAGCCCCACGGGGACCAGACAGACTTCGGACAAGGATCCCAGAGTCCCCAGAAACAGGAGGAGCAGAGGCGGCACCTGCACCTCATGGTGCAGCTGCTGAGGCCGCAGGATGACATCCGCCTGGTGAGGGCCCATCTGGAGCTCCGGGGGGCAGGGCGAAGAGACACACCCGAGGGCAGAATGGAGCCCTGTGTATGTGTGTTAGGGGAGCAATGGTGTGAGGGCAGGGGGCAGCCTGGGGAGTGTTGGGGTTACCCATACCCCAGTGACCCTGCTGTTTCAGGCAGAGATGTTTTGACAGGGTAAGGTCATGGCTGCAGGTCTCTGGAAGGGAAAGAACAGGGGAGGTTTGTCCTGTGTGAGCCAATAGGGCCAAATTAGGTCCAAGAGGTGGGAATTCCAGAGGTATGTTTCTCCTCAACCAGTAGAAGACTTTCCTGATGACATGAGCTGTCCCTAAACGGACCAGTGCACAAGGCAGGCTTGCTGGACACCCACTGGGGGTGGGTGTGCTGGAGGGACCGGGGCAGAGGGCAGGAGGATTCCAGCCCCATGGAGGAAGGGAGTCCAGGTGGAGCCGGAGCACTAGTGTTCAAATGCTTGTGGAGACAGCTCGCCGTCCTCCGCAAGACATGGCAAACAGGATGCAGTGAATCTTCTGTAAAACTGAATTTATGACAGAAATATCATCCCCTATTGTGAGATTTTGTCCTTAGTATTTCTTTGGTGATAAACATTTCTCAAATGAAATGATAGCAATGGCAAGTGACAGGGTTTAAAAAACAAAAACAAAAAACCTCCTTCTTGCTGGGCATGGTGGCTCATGCCTGTAATCCCAGCACTTTGGGAGGCTGAGAAGGGAGGACTGCCTGAGCCCAGGAGTTCAAGACCAGCCCAAGAAACATAGGGAGACCTCATCTCAATAAAAAACTTAAAAATGAGCCAGGCATGGTACATAGGCCTGAGGTCCCAGCAACTTGGGAGGCTGAGGCGGGAGGATCATGTGAGCCTGGAGTTTGGGGCTGCAGTGAGCTGTGCTGGTGCCACTGTACTCCAGCCTGGGCAACAGAGTGAGACCCTGTCTCAAAACAAAACCAAAAACAACCTCCTTCCTCAGCAGAAACAAAAAATGTGCAACCTGCGTCAGTCCCATTCCCCACTTTTTTCCACACAGTCCCTCCTTACCCACTGATGTTACATCGGGGAAGAAGGGGGATGGGAGAGGAAGGAGCAGTGTCAGCACTGTTCTGGGCCTGGGGTGTCTAGGTGGGGAGCAGGGTCCTTGGGGCCACTTTGACCCTGGGCTCCTCATCTCTCCCAGGCAGCCCAGCTGGAGGCAGCCCGGCCTCCCCGGCTCCGCTACCTGCTGGTAGTTTCTACACAAGAAGGAGAAGGTCTAAGCCAGGATGAGACAATCCTCCTGGGTGTGGATTTCCCTGACAGCAGGTTCGAGCAGGGAGAGGAAAGGAGGGGCAAAGAGGTGAGGGACAGGGGGGACAATGGCTTTCCCTCTGTCCCCTGCCAGCTCCCCCAGCTGCACCCTGGGCCTGGTCTTGCCCCTCTGGAGTGACACCCAGGTGTACTTAGATGGAGACGGGTAAGCAGTGGCAACTGGAGGTCGGGGGGCAAGAGGGTGGAATAACTGAGTGTGACAGATGTGACGGGGCCTGGGCACCAGGGTACAGTAGAACTTTAGGTTGGGACTCTGGGGACTGCTCCCAGCTCCATGTCAGATTCACTGTGATCCTGAGCAAGGCACCTGACTCCTGGGCCTTGGCTGTATCCAGCAAAAGGACAGGTTCTCTGTCGCAGAACCTGGAGTCTGGCCTCACCTGCGCCTGGTCTCCCGCAGGGGCTTCAGCGTGACGTCTGGTGGGCAGAGCCGGATCTTCAAGCCCGTCTCCATCCAGACCATGTGGTAAGGACAGAGGCTCCCTGGACTCAGGCCGGCCTCTCCTTCGAAGGAGGCTGCAGGGCCTGGGGAAGGGCAGCAAGGGAACAGTGTGACCCAGCCTCTCCTCCTGTCTCAGGGCCACACTCCAGGTATTGCACCAAGCATGTGAAGCAGCTCTAGGCAGCGGCCTTGTACCAGGTGGCAGTGCCCTCACCTGGGCCAGCCACTACCAGGAGAGACTGAACTCCGACCAGAGCTGCCTCAATGAGTGGACGGCTATGGCCGACTTGGAGTCTCTGCGGCCTCCCAGTGCCGAGCCTGGCCGGTCAGTGTGGGGAGGGGAGGGCCTGGGTGGACGGGGAAGGCAGGATAAGGCAGTGGGAGGCATGGCGGAGAGGGGAAGGGGCCCCTTGACTGAAGGGCTTTGCTCCCAGGCCCTCAGAACAGGAGCAGATGGAGCAGGCGATCCGTGCTGAGCTGTGGAAAGTGTTGGATGCCAGTGACCTGGAAAGCGTTACCTCCAAGGAGGTAGGTAGGGAGCCCGGGGACTGAGTCCCCTCCAGCAGGGGCCTCGAGCTTGCCTTTCCTGGGAGCCCTCCCCACGTTGCCTGTCTCCAGTCCTGAGCCATTCCTGGATGCCTTGGCCTTGGCCCTAATGCATCTAGATGGGACACGATGCTGTCCTCAGAGGCCCCAGAGGGAA